AATGGAATGGAATGGGGTGGGGTGGGGTGGGATGGGATGGGGATGGGTGCCCACAGCCCAGGTAGTGGCATGGACAGGCAGACCCCACACCGTGCCCACCCCATCCTCGAGTGATGCCCGGCGCTGGCACAGCTCAGGGTCTCGTGGTCCTTCCCCCCCCCCCGCCTCCTCCCAGAAGCTGCAGTTCTACGAGAGCCGCCTGCAGCTGCCCGCCCCGCGCTGGAGCGAGCTGGCTGCGCTGATCGCGCACTGCATGCACTACGAGCCCAGCAGGCGGCCCTGCTTCCGCGCCATCATCCGCGACATCAACAGCCTCATTTCCTCCGGTGGGCGCTGCGGGTGTTGGGGATGGGCACAGGGATGGGCACCGGACCCCCACCTCACCATCTGTCCCCCACCCCCAGACTATGAGCTGCTCTCAGAGCTGTCACCCACCGATGTGACGCTGCGGGAGAGCTTCTGGGGCTACGAACACGTGGCAGCGGGGCACAGCCCTGCGCTGTTCGAGGAGCGGCACCTCAAGTACATCTCACTGCTGGGCAAGGTGAGGCTCTCTTAGCGATGCCCTTTTTGTGGGGTATCCACGGCCTCCTCCACACCTCGCTGTCTCAGGGGTGGCAAAGTGCTGGGGGGGGTCCGGGGAGCTGAGCGCCCCCCCGGCTCTGCCTCCCCAGGGCAACTTTGGGAGCGTGGAGCTGTGCCGCTACGATCCGCTGGGTGACAGCACGGGTGAGCTGGTGGCGGTGAAGAAGCTGCAGCAAGACTCGGCCAAGGAGCTGCAGGACTTCGAGAGGGAGATCCAAATCCTGCACTCGCTGCAGCACGATTTCATCGTCAAGTACCGGGGCGTTTGCTACAGCCGTGGTGAGTGCGAGGCGGCACCGGGGGGGAGGGATCAGCGCATGGGGTGCGGGCAGGGAGAGGTCTGCATGCCCTCTGCTGCATCAACCTGCAAATTGCCTGCTCTGCCCGTGACACAAATGTGCTGCAGGGCGCCGGGGGCTGCGGTTGGTGATGGAGTACCTGCCTGATGGCTGCCTGCGGGATTACCTGCAGAAGAACCAGCACCGCCTGGAGCACCGCACGCTGCTGCTCTACGCCTGGCAGATCTGCAAGGTGGGACCGAGGGGATCCCATTCTCCCATGGAGGGGTTGGGGTAGGGATGCAGTGATGGCACCGTGCCTGTTCCAGGGCATGGAGTACCTGGGGGCCCAGCGCTGCGTGCACCGCGACCTGGCCAGCAGGAACATCCTGGTGGAGAGTGAGAGCCATGTGAAGATTGGTGACTTCGGGCTGGCCAAGCTGCTGCCACAGGACAAGGACTATTATGTGGTGCAAGAGCCTGGGCAGAGCCCTGTGTTCTGGTGAGGTCCCAGGTGCTGGGTTGGGGGGCACGGTGGGACCCGGCGCTCAGAGCTCCCACCTCCAGGTACGCACCCGAGTCGCTGGCTGACAACGTCTTCTCCCGAGCATCCGACGTGTGGAGCTTCGGGGTGCTGCTCTATGAGCTCTTCACCTACAGCAATAAGAGCAGGAGCCCCTCGGAGGTGAGGCCCCCACCCCACCATGCCCCCCCCGGCGCCCCCTACTGCCGCACCTTGTGCTCACCGCAATCCCGCAGGAGTTCCTCCGCATGATGGGCCCTGAGAAACCAGCACAGATCATCTGCCATTTGCTGGAGCTGCTGAAGGACTCCAGGAGGCTCCCGGTGCCCCCAGGCTGCCCCACAGAGGTGAGATCCTCCCCTCCAGCACAGCGGGGTCCCAGCCCTCCCCATGCCCCCCAATTGCTCCGTTCTATCCACAGGTGTATGCGGCGATGCTGAGCTGCTGGGCATTCGCCCCCAGTGCCAGACCCACCTTCAGCGAGCTGGCAGCCAGAGTCGAGGCACTGAGGGATGGCCGTGGCACCACCCGTGGGTAGGGGGTGCCTGGACACCCCCTCCCCCTGCAGCCCCCAGACCCTCCAGCATAAGACATGACAGACAGATCGACGAACACAGCAACGCTTCAATGTGTTTTAACTGCTGTGGTTGTGCTGCTGTGACTTCCCCTCTCATTCCCAACTCTTTTGTAACAAGGTTTGACCGATTTCAAGTAAACTGGTGGTGGAATTTGGCAACTGGAGTGAAGTGAGGGGAATCCATGGTGGGGGGGATTGGGGGGAGGTTGGGCATGAGGAGGTCAGCTGTGTACCAATATCCTCACAGAGGAAATGCAGCAGTGAGCTCAGCCCCCCTATGAGCCACTGCGGACATCCCTGTAGGAGGGCAGCCTGGGGGCAGCAGGGGCCGGGGGATGGGGGGGGAATCTGGGGGGCGCCCATCTCTTGCTTGTGTGGTTGAGGACGGAAAGGGGACCTCAGGTGTGTGTCCACCCACAATGGATGAGCAGACATGGGGGACAAGGGGTGGGCGGTGGGGGGACCCTGAGCTCCCACTCCCCCCTGCACTGTTGGGATGGCAGCAGGCACGGATCCCTCATCTCCAGACTGCGTTCCTTTATTGCACCAAGAGGAGACCCTGGTCACAAGTCACAGCTTTGGGGCAGAGCCGGGCAGGATGTCTGAGGTGAAGCCACCGGTTGGAGCTGAGGCTCAGCACCTCCCCACGCTCAGCCTCACAGCAGCATCCCACAAGCCTTGGAGCAGCAGCAGTGACGCTGACCCTCCTGGTCCATCCTAGAAGATGAGCACCTTCCTCCCGCAGCGCAGCTGGGGCTCCCGGAGAGCCTGCCACATCACAGCCATCTCATAGGGCGCAAAGCGGTGCACCACCAGCAGCTCCCGGTAATAACAGGGGTCCAGCGGGTCAGAATAGCGGGGCACGGAGATCCCCCAGGGCCGGATGCCATCGTGGGAGATGGGGGCCAGCCCAGCTCTCTTCAAGCACATCCCCACGTAGACGTCATCGATGGGGAAGAGTGCGACGTGCTGCGCCGCACGGTGGATGGTGCGCGCCGTGAAGGCAGACATGAGCACCCCTCCTCCACTGCAGTACGGTGGGTACAGCTCCGATGGCATCAGCTGCGTCGGCACAAAGTACTTGCTGCCTGGATTCCGGATGGGCCCCGTGCCGGCCAACACCTGCCCAGCCAGCAAGTGCTGCTCGCTCGGGACATCCCGCGTAAAGGACACCAGGTTGTCCGTGTTGACAAAGACATCGTCGTCCCCGTTGAAGACGAAGCGCGCGCCGGGGCAGCGCTCCTGCAGCCAGGTGTGAAACAGCAGCAGCTTCAGCGTCAGGTTGAAGAAGGTGTCCCTGAAGTCCCACTGCAGCACGTCGTGGTGCTCGTGCTGCTCGTGCCACAGCAGCCGGTTCAGTTTGGCCGCGTTCCGCGCGTCGGGGGAAACCCCCACCAGGAACAGCCGCCGGATCTGCGCCCCTTCCAAGGTTCTCTGCTGACCCCACGTCTTCCGGATCGCCTCGCGCCGTTCGTAGTTGGCCGGGGAGGATTTGATGGCCAGGAGGAGGAAGATGTTGGAGGAGGCTGTGGGACCCCCGCATTTGCCGGGGACGTCGAGGAGTTGCGGGAAGGCACGGCAGTGCTGGTAGAGCATGAAGTCCTGGGATTGCTCGGGCAGTTTGGCAAAGCCAGGGATGTTCTGCACTGAAGCATTGGCCACGCACGGGGTGATGCTGGGCAGAGCTGGGAGGGCGTCGGGGGCTGCAATGGAGGTGGGTTCGGGGCTGGGGGCTGCGTGAGGCCACAAAGACGAGGTGGGGGACAGCAGGTAGCACAGCCCCAGGGTCCCCACCGTGAGCAAAGCCCATTTCTGCGGTGCACGACGCCACGGGGAGCGGGTCTGCAAGACAGGGAGCACAGCTGGGGCTGCGTGTCCCCCATTTATGGGATCACACTGTGCTCTATGGTGGGTTGGGATTCCGGGTGCCGATGGTGAAGACTGAAGGCATCACCACCTCACAGCACATGTGGGGCCTCCTGGGCAGGGTTTCCAGGCATCCCACAGCCACCCCGGGGGCATCAGACCCAATTGCCTCTGGATGCAGAGCCGCCCGTGCTCCATCCCCCTCTCTGCTATGCTCAACTCCCTCTCTTCCTTTGTTACGACCTTTTGATCCCAAGTTCATTTCCGCCTCCCTTCCAGAAAACCAGGGAGAGGTCAGGCAGTCAGTCCTGCCCAGCAGCTGCTGCGTTACACAGAGCAAATAGCCAGGGCACAGCAGGGCCACGCCAGCAAGTGGGATGGGGCACCCACTGGAGCACCCTCAGCTGGAGGAGTGGGTGGTTCTGGATGCATGAAGCCCACCAACAGGTGAGCTGAGCAGCCCCCCACCCCATAAAGATGGAGCCCATGGGCAGGGGACCCCACTCAGCATGAGGACCCCATGCAGCACGGGGGATCCTCCCCCACCTCCCCCCAGCCCAGCAAAGCAGGATGCACCCAGCCCCATCCCAGAGCCCACCCTGCAGCACGTGAAGCCCTGAGCCCCACAACCCCACAGAGCCCCCAGCACCTTCCCACAGAGCCATACCAGAGCCATTCTCGTGCGTCAACGGGACAGGATCAGCAATCCCCTCCCCACACCTGGTGCCACCCATCTGCCCATCCCGAAGCAGGTGGGGCAGCAGCACCTATGGGTGCTAGAAGTGTCACAGTTCAGTGTTGGCTCCTCCCCCCCAGGGCCTCAAAGTCCCCCCAGGAGCGCAGCGCAGCAGCTGAGCCCGTTACCAAGGAGCAGCCCAGAGGTGGCAGAGCTGGGCGGCACAGCGTGGGGCAGAGGCGGTGATTAGAAAATAAAGTGTTTAATAAAAGAGCTTCACAGCACGGGGGTGGGATGGAGGGGGGGGGGGGGCCCCACCCCTTACCGCGGGGGATCACGCAGTTAGGGCTAGGGGGAGGAAGGGGAGGGGGGGGGAGGAAGAGGAGTGAGGAGGAGGAGGAAGGCACCCCCTCCAACCAGGCTCCATCCAGTGCTTTGAGCTCACACAACCAAGGGGAGGTCCGGGGGTCCGAGTAGAGGCAGCTCAGGACCCCGCCAGGTAGATCCCTGTGGAGGAAAGGGGGGGTGAGGGATGAAAGGTGGGGGCTGCGAAGATGGGGACACGCACACAGGGCATTGGCACCATGGGAGAACGGAGAGCAGGGTGGCGGGGAGGGGACCTCAGGCACCTGGGGAAGGGACCTCCTGCACCATAGGGGGTGGGGAGGGGACTCCATGCACCACGAGGAGTGAGAAAAGGTCCCCATGCCCCCAGATCCGTGGGGTGTGGAGGAGAGATGCCGTGCACCCTGGGCAGCACAGAAGGGACCCCGAGCATCTCAGACATAGGGGACGCAGAAGGGACCACGTGCAACCATGGGCTGTGGGGACAGGGGAGGGATCCCACGTACCCGTGGCGAACCTCTTCTTGACCAGCGACATGCGGTACCCAGCGCCTGCCAGCTCCACCTCGACGCCCGACAGCGTGCTGCCCTCACTGCTGAACTGTGCTGCCACCGGGCTGGGCTTGCTGGGCCCACAAAGCGGCTGCCAGCTGGCTGAGAGCCGCCCGCAGCCTGGGGAGGTGGGGGGGGAGCACAGAGGTGGGGGTCCCATCCCTGTCCCCACACGCACAGAGTGAGGGCTGCAGGGGTGGATGGAGCCTCACCTCCCTGCCCTGGCGCGCTGGGGACATCCAGCAGCTTCCAGAGCAACCTCTTCTCCTCCAGGTTCCTGCGGGGACGTGGCCACATCTCCAGGTCTCCCGCTCCATTCCCACCACCAGCCCATTTTAGACCCCCACCCTCTTTACCAGCTGGCCTTGGGCTGCAGCCGCACGTTGGTGACGGGTTCATCCAGGGGCAGCAGCACGTGGACGTTGGCGAGGGGCACAGGCAGGGCGAGCGCCCCCGCGTTGTAGCCGTACTCCACACTGACCCGCGTGGCTCCGGGCGCGCAGTCCCAGCGCACACACAGCCGCAGTGGGGCTGAGCTGGGACCCAGCCGGGAAAACTGGGGGGTAGAGAAGGGTGGGATGCTGTCACCCCGCCATCAGAGCTGGGTGGGGGGATGTGGGGCGCCCCCACGCTGCGCCCGGCTCACCTGGTACTTGAGCAGAGCCACGTTGTAGTAGGAGGCAGATGGGCTCTGCTCTGCTTGTTTCTGCAGCTGCCCCGTCAGCGCAGCCATGTTCAGCCAGAAGTCCCTGGTGCTGGGGTCGCTCTGGGAAGGGTCACTGTGGGGATGGGGACACTGCGACCACACTGGGGCGCCCCACAGCTGGCACCCGCAGTGAACCAGCACCCCAAGGCGCAGCGCTGCACCCAGCAGGTGATGAGGGTGCCTGGGGCCACCTGAGAAACCAGACCCCCCAACACCCTGTGCGCCCCAAGCTCCCCACTGCCACCACCCCAGCCCACGTCCCCGTGTCCCCACACCTGTAGAGCAGCTCGGCGTTGGGCAGGAATTGCTCGATGGCACCGGCGTTGAGCAGACGGAAGCTGAGCACGGGGGGAGCCAAGCTGCCGCTGAAGACGCGCACGATGCCGGCGGGGAAGGACATGGTGAGCTCCCCTGTCACCTTCACCAAGCAGCTGCGGGGATGCTGGGGGTCAGCGGGCAGACAGCTGGGGGGACCCCGACCCCAACCCCAACCCTGACCCCCCCCTACCTGTCGGCATCTCGCCCCTTGAAGTAGGCATGCACGTATTCGGTGAAGGCGGTGGCCACGGGCAGCGCGTCCTGCGAGCCCAGCACCACGGGGCTGGGACCCCGCGACAGCCCTGGGGGCAACGCACACCCCGTGAGCACCCTGAGGGCCCCACGTCCCCCACATCCAGGATTCTTCCATCCCCCTCCCAACCCGGACGCACCGAGGGGCGGTGGGCACACGGAGAAAAAGCCGCGCTCCCCCAGGCTGGCGGGGGCTGAATGCGAGGGGCAGCTCCAGGAGGGCGGGGGGCTGAGCGAGCGCGACTGCAGGCATAGAAAGGGGGGGGTCAGTGGAAGGAAGGGGGTCGGGCTGCTGCCCCCCCCAGTCCTCCTACCCCCTTAAAACACACCAGGTCACTGTTGCTGCCTGCAGCTGGGCCGGCTGTCGGGCGCTTCGTCCGGGAGCGGCGAGGGGGGGCCACCAGTGGGACCTCGCGGGGGGCGGCGGCGGGGGGGCGGGCGGCTGTGGGCACAGAGGGGGTCAGGGGGCCCCGAGGCAACGGGGCCAATGAGAGGTAGGAGTCCCCAGGGGGGGGTCCCACGGGGGCCGGGAGAGCAGCAGGCTCAGCCCTTTCCCTTCAGATGTATGGGGCTGGTGAGAGCTGGGGGGGGCACAGCTATGGGTAATTTGGGGGCAGAGCTGGGGGTGACTGGGGGCAGAGTTGAGGGTAATTTGGGGGAAGCCCCACAGAACTCACCCAATTCAGGGGGGGCCGTCGCAGTGCCACCCTCAGACGTCCTCATCCCCAGCCCTGGGCACGTCCATGGGGAGGGGCTGGAGGACTCCCCCCCGCTTGGGGGGGCCGGGGAGGAGGAGGAGGATGAGGCCGAGTTGGAGGAAGGTCGAGGCTGGGGGTGTCGCTCCCCAGGAGGACTGCGGGGCCGGACCCAGGGCTCCCCAAAAGGGTCGGGCGAGGGGGGCTGCAGGGGGGGGGCCGGGGCCACGGGGGCGTCCTCGGGACGCCGCACCCCCCACATCCCCCTCCTCCCAGAGCCCCTCAGCCCCGGGGAACACGGCAAAGCCGGGCAGCTCAGGCAGGCGACCCCCAGGGCTGCGGGGTCGTGGGGGGGCCCAGGCTGAGGATGGTGCCGGGGAGGGGTCCGGCAGTGCCCCCCGCTTGGGGAGGGGGCTCTGAGGTGCTGACGGAGTCCACGGCCTCGAGTCCGGTGAGGGGACGGGCGCAGGGTGCGAGGGGGAATCCAAACCCGAATCCTCCACGTTTTCCGGGGAAGAAGAGGAGAAGGGCGAGGAGGAGGAGGTCAGGACGTAGGAACGGGGCGCTGCGGGAGAGAGCGGCGTTGGGATGCTGGGGGGGGCACAGAGGGGTCTCCCCCCCCCCCCCTCCCCCCTCACATCCCCAAAGCCTCACCCGGGAAATCCTCCGCCTCAAAAGCTGATTCCAGGGGGGGCCCGAAGAGCGCTGCGGGGGGCACCGCCTCCATGGGGGGCACCGCGTCCACCGGAGCCTTCCCAGGGCAGCTGTGGGGTGGGGGGGCTCAGTGCCCAGCACAGGGCTCAGTGCACCCCCCCCCAGGGCGTCCCGTGCCGTACCTGCTTGCCTGTGTCACCGCGTGTCCCCTCCCCACGCTGTCACCTGCAATGAGAAGGATGTGATTGGGGACATGGAGGGAGAGGGGACACCGGGACCCCCAGGACGGCGGGACCCCCAGCACGGCCTCACCTGGCACCTGAGGCCCCCCAGGGTCGGCGGCGCTCGGGGCTGCGGACAGAGCCGCTGTGTGCCCTGGGGAGGGACATGGGGACAAGGGGGGTGTTAGGGGACGCGGGGACAGATGTTAGGGGCTATGGGGACACAGGGACAGGAGGAAGGAGGGGACATGGGGGCAGGTAGAGCCAGGGGACACGAGGTGGGACTCACGTGACGACTGCCGTCTGACGGTGCCCTGCAAGACACGGGGGGTCGTTAGCCCCAGCACGGCCCCCTCCACCCCCCACCTTAAGCCCCCAGCCTCACCCCCACGCCGGGCGGCAGGATGAAGGTTCCCACGGTGGCCCTCAGCTGCTCCACGGTGGCCCCGGCGCTGCCCCCCCCCCTCGCGGGGCTGCACGGGTTTGATGTGCACGTGGAACCTGCGGGGCTCATCCTCGTCGTAGTCCGAGTCGCTGGAGGAGCAGCTGTGGTGCTCTGCCTCCGCTGAGCCCCCGTTAAGGCAACACTTGAACCTCAAAACGCCCCCAGGCCCCCCAAAAAACCCCCATCCCCCAACACAGCCGCAGACCCCAACACCAAACCCCAAGGATGCTGTGAGCAACGTCTGGGCGCACGCTGAACCCGTCCTCATCCACCTCGGGGCAAGCCTGAAGTGGAGGAGATGCTCAGGGTGAAGCCCACTCCCCAGTGCTCCCAGTGCTCCCAGTTTGGGGTGGTGTGGGATGGAGGAAGGCCGGCACTCCACACCGTACCACTCACCACATCGGTGTCCGGGGATTCCCTGTGGGGATGGCAGCAGCGTTAGAATGGGGGTTAGATGGGGGGCACAGAGATGCAAGGGATGCAGAGAAGCGTGGGGTGTTTGCAACGTAGGGAAGGGATGCAAGGGATGCAGACAATGCATGCAGGGGGTGCAGGCAGCGTGGAATGCAGACAGCATGCAATTCCAGACACACAGAACTGCAAGGGATGGATGCAAGGGAGGGACGTGAAGGATGGACGTGAAGGATGCAGGGAAGCACGGGGTACAGAGAATGGGTGCGAGGGACAGAAGCAGGGGTGGGTGCAGAGGATGCAGAGCACTGAGGGGCGCTGGGGAGGTGAAGGGGGGGTGACACCTCACCCAGCTTCGCGCTCTCTCTCCTTGCGGCTCAGCCCAGGGATGCGGAAGGCTTTGCTGCGGCTCCTCTTGTGCCCTGGGGGGGGGGAGGGCACAAAGCAGTGAGCAGCCCCAACCACCCCCCCAATTCCCAGAACACCCCCCCAGCACGGGGCTGAGTTGGGGGCAGACGTACTTGCCTTCCTGCGCTGGGGCCAGGCGGTACTCCTCAAAATCCAGCGCGCCTGAGAGCAAACGTGGGGTCAGCCACAAAGGCAGCAGTGTCCCCATGCACAGCTGAACCCCCCCCCCCACACCAGGACAGTGGTGAACCCCCTCCTCACCTGGGCGCTCCCTCCCCGTCCCTTTGCTCTCTGCAAACCTCCGCAGCAGCGTTTCGGTGCCGATGTTCTCCACGTTCTGCTTGAACTCCTCGTGAACCTGCGGGGAGCGGCGCCGTGGGACGCAGAGCAGCACATGGGGGTGGCCCCATATGGGGGTGGGGGCTGAAGGGGAGGCTTCACCTGCCCGATCTGCACGTGGGTGTCCTCCACTGAGTGCGAATAGGAGCCGATGAGGCCCTTCATGTGGCGCAGGTGGGCTTCTTCCACCTCCTGGAAGCGCTGCGGGGATGGGGAGATGGGGGTGGCACATCCCCGAGGGGCAGCAGCAC